AAACCTAAATTCCTTCTATAGACAGCTCCACACAAGTGTGAAGAACCTTGAACAGAGCTATGGAGCAAGAAGTGCACTCTGGAGACTGATTCTTGGACAACCATACTTTACTATACATACAGCCTCTCTTGGGACAGGGAGATAAATTCCTGTTACAGAACTATAACTTCACAGCAGAGTAAACGTCTATTCTAACCTAAATTCTGAAGAAATCGCTAGCTGGCTGCTTGCTGTGACGCAGGTAGTGTGTATTAGACATGTATCACCCCCATTTGATTCTCACACCAATCTGTTATCCCAATCTTACTAATGAGAACCCAGAAGGGAAGAGATGCTACCCAGCTGTGATAAGGTTATCCAGCCTTGTGTGAGGGAAAAGCTGGTTTTCAGGTGGAGTCTGCTAATCCAGGAGCCCGGCCTTTGTGGCCTTTTTGATAGAGAATATGAAAAGCTTGCAATATGCCAGGAAGATACATGTCTCTTCACTTATTATGGGAAATTTCAAGTATCACAAAGAAGAGAAGACAGTATAATAGATTCCCATATATCCAACACCAGGTTTGAGCCGTTATCAGCTCAAGCCAGAGGTCATTTTTTTTTTTTTATGTGTATGAGTATATTGCCTGCATGTATGTGAGCACACCCCTGTTGTGCAATGCTGCGGAGGTCAGAAGAGGGCTTCGGATTCCCCTGGAACTGGAGTTAAGGACAGTTCGTAGCCACCATGTGGGTGCTGGGAATCAAACCCAGGTCCTCTACAAGAGCAGTCAGTGCTCTTAACCACTGAGTCAACTCTCCAGTCCCAGCCAGAGGTGATTTTTAAGCCAATTCAGAAGCATCTAATCTCCAGCTAAGGGCTGTGGTAACAGGAGTATCCACATATGGGTGTATATAGGTCTTTCAGACTTCATTCTATGCATGAATCTGGTACTTGTTTGAAAACTGACTTTGCAAACAGCAGCCTCCCATTTTACGCTGTAATGGTAGTCACCGATTCAGCTTATTCAGAAACCATGACTCCACACCACAGGGAGATGGGCCAAGCAAACAGCAGCAAATTCTAGATGCTATTTACAAATGCTGACTCTGCTCCATCCTCAGTAGCACAAGAAAAGTAAACATTTTAATTTCTGTTTATTTAACGTAGCCTGGGAAAACTTATAATGCATGCCTATATACAAAGGACAATGGCCAACATATTTAGGTTTAAAAAGAGAAGACACAGTGGGGAAAGGAAAAACATGCAGGAAGGGGGCAGGAAGGACTTTCTAGAACAATCATTGTAATATAGGGCACTTATCCCCTGCACAAGTTCCCTGTACGTCCCCTCTAATCCTCACGATAAAAAATACATAAATCTATTCACTGTATTCCAGTTAAGGCAGCTTAATATTAAAACACAATGATGTGAACCCTATAATTAGGAAGGCTTTAGAATTCCAGCCTGTATGATTTTGCACACTGGGCACTTGAAAATGTTCTTAAAGACAGACTGGTTGAAAGGCCAGATCTTCCTACAGAAGTATTCTCCTTGTTCCCTTAGCTTACAGCCCTTGAATTTCAGTATGCAAAGATGTCAGGGGGAGGTATAGAACTTTAAATTATTAAATTATCCATTTAACTTAAGAACTATTTCATTAGGTAACTTAAATTTCTTAAGCATGATTGAATTTTTGTTGTTGTTGTTGTTGTTGTTGTTGTTTTTGGTCTTTTTGAGACAGGGTTTCCCTGTAGCCCCAGCTGGCCTGGATTCACTATGGAGACCAGGCTGGCCTCGAACTCACAGAGATCCATCTCCCTCTGCCTCCCGAGTTCTGGGATTAAAGGCGTGTGCCACCATGCCTGGCTTTTTAAGCCTTTTAAGATAGAGACTAAGGGTAAAAAGGAGAACGAGCTTGGGACCGCAACAGAATTCATGGAAACATTAGGTCCCTCTGGAAATCTCAATAGTTGGAGTCTTGTTTGCATCACCTTGTTTCTTGATTTAACTTTTTTCTAGGAAATGAAATGCTTATGAAAGTCTCTGGGCTGATGACCCTGGAGACTCAAGCCAGGAAACAGCAATTCAAGGCAGGTCTTAGAACAAAGTTTGGGGGCCTCTAGTTCCATTTCCCTGTTAGAATATTTTCACCTAAGACTGATGCACCTTGCGTTTTATCAAATTAATTACTATACCCTGGAGAGAGTGATGGACAATATTTGTGGGTGTCTTGAAGTAAATTTTTTAAAAGTGTAAGCCTTTAGAGGGGAAAAACTCTGGTCAAAGTCATCCTTGTCAACTTTTGCTTTGGCTTTTGCTCCCTTGTAACTCAGCACAGAAGTTAAAGTGACACTTTTAAGACATAAGTTATAGCGTGTCATTTGTCTCCTCAAACCTGTTCAAATGGTTCCTATTTTACTCAGAGTGAAAGTCTTACAATGGACAAGGGCCTGTGAAGTGCTATGGCAGCCCCCCCCCGCTCCTCAACAGTATCTTAGACCCCCAGCACCACCACCCTGCTCCATTCTCAGTGGCTGCTTTGCTGTTGCATGGACATGTCAAGCTGTCACCCTAGGATTTTTGCACTTGTGCCCAGAACCCTCTTCTGTCAGGTATCTGTTCAAATGTGACATTCTGTGCTTTGTAAAATAGCGCCCTGTCTGCCGCCTCAATGCTCTGCTTCATGAATTCCATTTCATTTTCTTTTGTAGCACTTATTACCATCTGTCATGCTATATATTTGCCTAATGTCACTCCTAGACGGGGAATTCTACAAGGACAGAGGCTGCATTTCCTTTCTTGTAACATCTGCTCCTAGAAGAGAGCTTGGCACTATTCACAGTCAGTGTATGCTGAATGAAAGAGAGATACTCATGTTAATAATGATGAGGATGGAGCTGGCGGATGACACACAGAACATTAGGTGCTGTTCTAATTGCTTTACATCCATTAGCTCATGCCATGCCCACAATGGCCCTTGATGAGGCACTGCTATTCCTCTCCCTGATGGATGGGGCACCTGATCAAAAGACATTAGATGCTTGGCCACCATCATACAACTAACAAATAAATTGATAAATTCAAAATAGTCTTTAGATTCTTAACTAATTCATTCTTTTACAGGTGGAAGCACCATGTCCAGGAGAGCCGCTAACAGGAAGAATGGCAGTTTGGGTTCCCTCTCTGTGCATCCTTGCTGGCTCCTGACAGCTGCTACACAACAAAGCCCAGCCTTTGCCACAATCTCACCACCCTTTCTTTCTGTGAGTAGAGACCCAGTGAACTCATGAGAGTACCTAGCATCAGTAAGCTTCCAGCAAAGAGTGTTTTTGGAAAAAAAAAAAAAAAAAAAAAAAAAAAAAAAAAAAAAAAAAAAAAAGCAAAACATGCCCCCTACCCCTCTAGGCTAGGTGTTGTGCCACACACCTTCAATCCCAGCATTCAAGAGGGAGAGGCAGTTGAATCTCTTGTGAGTTCAAGGATCAAGAAACTCCTTTCTCTGGTTAAAGAATAGTAGCAGGCTTGGCAGTGCAAATGACTCTGCTTTCAAAGGGCATGAGAATTCTGTTTAAGATAACTCCACTTGACCTTTCTAAGGGCAGGCTAGAGCTACATCTGTGAATATTCACCCTTGAGCCTTGAGGAAACTTGCCCAGACAGAGCCAATGGCTGGACAGGGCTTCTAAAGGACCTGTACTGAATGTCAACTGCTGTGCAGCTTTACCCAGTGAATACCCCACTGTGCACCCACCTTCTCCATATAACTCTATCTCCTTGGACAAAGATTGGTGACAATTTCACTGAAATGTGAAGGTGTGTGTGTGTGTGTGTGTGTGTGTGTGTGTGTGTGTATTTATATGTATATAGTGGATGTGTTTGGTGGATGTGTCAGAGGCTATGAGTGGGCTTCTGGAAGTATGTTGGGAGACAGTCAGTGAAGGGAGGGCTCCTCACAGTGTGACTGGCGCTGGATACTCCCAATCCTTGTGACATGGCCTTGTCTCCTCTCACCTTGCTTACCTGTATCTATTAATAAAATATTCTTCTCTCCAAACTCTCATCAGAATAATACTGAAGTGTTTATGTATGCATGGTATATGTAAAAACTAACAGTTGAACAGAGACTCAGCCCCTTTCCACTCTCACCGGATCCTGTCCCATTGTATTTATTAAATAAACATGCATCTAAACACCATCTCTATGACCATGAACCAAGTACTCATGACTCCACAGTACTGTGAGCAGGTGAGTTGACTGTTAGCTGGATGTGGCTGCCCAGGAGCAAGGCTCTTTCAAACAGCTGCTAATTCCAAGGGTTAACAGGACACCACATGAAGGAGTTATGGGAGTTGTGGCATGCCCATGAAGAGTTTAGGGGTAAAGACTCTTCCCTTTGATTACTGGGAGGTAGAGAGGAAGCTTTACTAGTGAGAACTCGCCTTGCTCTCCCTCCAGGTCTCACCCAGCATGGGAACCGGAGCCTGAGCCAGTCTCCAAGGCCCTGGTGTCAACTCCAGGAAAAGACCAGTTGCAATTCTACCCCTGCTTCTCACACACTTGTGTTAAAAACTTAAGCTGCTTTTAATTGTGGCATTTAAAAATGTGACATTTGATTATTCATAGGTTTCAAATTTGCATATTATTGTCTATAATCAAATCTCTTCAGCTGGAATGTTTCTTTTCAACTTTAAAGATGATTAGAGTTTATAAGGATAATTTATTACATCATCTTTGATAAAGACTTTATGCACAGTGTAACTTTCTATTTGTCCTCACTTTACAGCCGGGGATATTGAGGACCAGGAAAGGGCAGGTAAGTGCATCTGAGGTCACCTGCTGGTAAACTTGGGCCTACAAGGTGGGGCAGTCTTTCTCTGTAGCCGCTTTCTGCCTTTTACTTTTTTCATTATCACTGATCATTGCCTTTCTAGGCTCTATCTTAAAAGCAGGCTAAGTTTTCCGAGTTCTTTGGTACTTTCTGGTGACAGACAGGTAAAGCTGCCCATAGCAGTTCACTTACAGCTAAGTGGAGTGGACTCTTGGTAGCACCAGAATCAGATTCTTCAAAACCAGTGTTGGTTCTTTCCAAAAGCTGTAGAGACAAAAAGAAAGCAAGAGTCCTCAACCCAAGTTTGCAAAAGGAATTGTACTTACTGGACACTAACATGAGCATAAATGAGAAAGGAGTCCAGAAATCTAAGAAATAGCTGGGTGTAGTAGTACATGCCTTCAATCCCAGCCATTGGGAATCAGAGGCAGATGGATCTCTGTGAGATGGAGGCAAGTCTGGTCTACATAGCAAGTCCCAGGCCAGCTGAGGCTATATAGAGATCTTGTCTCAAAAAAAAAATTATACAGATTAGCAGCAATGTAAAAATCAAATACAGGCACATCTCAAGCAAACATGCAAACCAAGTGTTTAACTTTCCAGATCATCTTGGCATCTGCTATTTAAAAAGACTTTTATGCTTGAAAAGACACTTTGCCAAAATAGAAAAACAATGTATATCAAGTCTATTTTCACCTGGCGAATTCATAAAAGTGAAAAAAATAATAATATCCAGTATTGATTTCATTACCAAATACACACTTACTGGAAATAATGTTGGGGAAGATAAGTGAGTCTCCAGCTGTCATGAAGCTTTCAGTTTAGAGAGAGAGATCAAACACAAATAAACAAGGGAGCATCTAAAGTGAAGTATCATTGTGGAAATAACACAGGGTATTATACAGTGGCTGGGGTTAATTTCGAGCTAATGGTGAGGGAAGGCCTCTTTGAGGTGACATTTAAAGTGAGTCTTAAATAAAGAGACTTAAAAGAGACAAAGGTGTAGCAGGAGAGTACTGGGAGGAGAGAGTGGTCAGTGAAATACACCAAGTAGGAACGAACATCCAAACACAAGGAAGTAAAATAAGTGTGATCAGGGCATGGTGCCGTGAGAGTGACAGGAAGACTTCATGCTCCCGGACTACTCATGGAAGAACAAACTGTTAAAACCTTTAAAGATATTTGTGCATACCTACCATCCTAGGAATTAATCCTCAATAAATGATTACATAAGTGTACCATGAAGGCATGTATAAAGAAATCTATAGGGGCTGGAGAGATAGCTCAGTGGTTAAGAGCACTAACTGTTCTTGCAGAGGATCAGGGTTTGATTCCCAGCACCCACATGGTGGCTAAGAACCATCTGTAACTCTAGTTCCAGGGGAATTTGACACCCTCTTCTGACCTCCATGGGCATTGCACAACACAAGTGCACTTACACACATGCAGGTAAACACTCATACACATAAAATTAAAATAATAAAAAAAAATTTTAAAGAAAGAAAATCTATGTATGTAAATAGTGAATGATTACTGTGAACCTACATGTTGTACAATGGACTGAAGGTTCAATAATAAAATTAAATGTCAATTTTCTCATGGAGGAGGTTATACAATAAAAGAGGTATAGCGTTCATTGCACAGTACGAGGTGTTATGGGAAAATGAAGCAGAGAGGGAGAGTTTGGAGGACTTCAGGGGAAATCATTCTGAAACTTTACCTACTATGACCAGGAAAAGCCTCACTGGGCAGGTGATGGTTAAATCTCATCTGGTGAAAGATGAGAGAGCCTTGTGAATATCTGGGCTCAGAGCATTCCAAGTTGAAGGAACAGCAATCACCAAAAACCCTCAGGGATGTAAGAGTATCACAGAGAGTGGAGCACTGTGAGGATGGATGAGAACACAGAGAAAGAACACAGGGAGGGATGGTGGCAGCCATGTCAGTGCTGGGAAGATCCTTATGGGTTGTGGTCAGGATTTTGACTTTGCTCCCAAGTGTGGTGGAAACTCACTGGAGTGCTTGGAGCAAAGGAATGACATGACCCAACTGCAAGATTCCAGGGTGGCAGGGCTAGAAAGATGGCTCAGCAGTTAAGAGCACTGGCTGCACTTGCAGAGGACCCGGGTTCAATTCTCAGCACCCACATGGCAGCTAACGACTGTTTGTAACTCTAGTTCCAGGGGATCCGATGCCCTCTTCTGACCTTCGTGGGCATTGCACAACGTGGGTGCACTTACACACATGTAGGCAATAAACTCATACACATAAAATGAAAATAATAAATAAAATATTTTTTAAATATTCCAGGATGGCAATGGTGGGCGCACTGATGTCATTTAGGAGCTGAAACAGAGGCCAGAAGAGCAAAGCAATGGCATGGACCAACAGGAAGCAGGGGAGACAGAAGCAGTTGGACTGCCATTATCTGGGGAATAGAATCAACTGATCCTGAAAGATTGAACAGTAATATTAGAGAAGAGTGAGGAAGATTCCTGGTTTGGGTCCTCATTAAATGGAAGGATGGCCAGGAAAGACACAGCCTTGTAATCTCAGTCAGGAGAATCATAAGTTCAAGACCAACCTGGGCTGCAAAGTGAGTTCAAGACCAGTATGGGCAATTTAATGAGACACTGTCTTAAAATAAAAAGTAAAAAGAGGCCTAGGGATACATCTCAGTAATAGAATGCTTGCCTGGCATGTCTAAGACTCTAGGTTCAATCCACAGCACCATAAAATAAAGTTAGGGGAAGAAAGACAAGAAAATGGAAGGCTGGAGGTGTCATGCACTGAAGGGGATAGATGAAGACAGGGAAGAGCAGAAGGTTGCTTTTGGAAGTACGAAATTTGAGGTGCTCAGAGGCATCTAAAAATGCACCTTATGTAAGAAACTCCTGGGAATATAGTTTTGGAGTTCACAGTATTTAAAGCCACAAGACTGGCTGAGGTGACCAAGGAATAAAGTAAACCAGGAGGAGACTGGGGCCCAGGACCTCATCCTGAGGCAGCCAATGTGAAGACCCAGAGAGGGGAGGAAGATCTAGCAAGACCACTAGGCCGAGCAGGTGAGCCAAAAGGTAAACAAAGGAGAGGAGGTGAAACCAAGTGGAAAAAAGGTTTCCAAGAGGAAAATGAGCTCTCCTGTCAAGTGTCCTGGGTCAAGTAAAATGGGGTCTGAGAACTGACCAGTGAGCTTAGCAAAATAGGGCCGCCATGAGTGACTCTGATAAGAGCAATTTATGAAAACACTCATTTGAGAGAAGGAAATAATGAGTGGTAAAAGAAAGATTAAGTAAACCGCAATGGCAGATCTTACCCCTTCCTATCAACTGTCCCTCTGTCTTGCCTTCAAATTCTTTTTCACATGGTGATACATCTGAAGGGCCCACCAATCCAGCCTCCAGGGCCTGGAGGATGTGTGGTGAACACAGTAGACATCAACATCTACTCCAACCTTCAGGTAGGTGGGTGTGGGCTGCTCTATATGGCAGGGGCTGGATGACTCAAAATGACATTTTCTAGATTCCTATGAGTAAGAGCTCCAGACAGGATTTAAATTCTGGCAATGAAAGCCACTAATTTGAAACTGTAAGACAGAAATGGGCAGGGGAAACCTCCATGATGCGGGTGCAGAGTAGCTTTCCTTTCAGCTCCGATGTGTAGGCCACTGAACAGTGAAGGTAGAAAAGCCAGAGGCAAAGATGAAGAGCATATACTTTCGGGCAGGGTAGGTCAAGCCAAAAAAATATAGATGGCTCTAGGGGCAAGAGAAATGGTAGTGACAAGACTTCCCCTACAGTGTCAGCAAGGGCGACGTGTTCTTGGAGTCAGCCACTGCAGTGGCTGCCTTTTGGATTTCCTCTCTCTGATCATGGGGAAGAGGCACAGCTCTCCCCCAGTACCATGCATCAGTTCAGGCTGGAGGTCCAGCCTAGACTCTACTCTTCTAAACCTTCCAATGGTCTTATAAACATCCACTCTATAAAATTACATCCTTTTTTCTGCTTCTTATGGTCAACATGGTTTCTATGTTTTGCAGATAAAGCCTGAAGAGATTTTTATGGAGGTTTACTTAATGAGAGTGATGAAACAGAAATTATACTGCTTAAGTCCTGAAAGGGAAAACTTCATAAAAATGACCTCACCCATTTTTGTCCTGGAAACTCCTTAAACTTGTTAAGTGAAATGCACATTTTAAAGCTATTAGTATAAATGAGACTATTTTCATTTTATAACAAAACTAGTATGGACACAAAATATTTAAAAAACAGTGCAGAAATACATATCCTCAAATGTTTAACACAACAACCTAAAAGCAGGATAACAGATTTTACTTTCTTCTTCCTTTTTTTATGACTTTTTGCAATGAATATATATTTTTATTGTAATTGGGAAAAAACAACTAAAATATTATATTTGGAAAAAAATGTTCTAAAACTCCCATGTAATCAAAAGAATGATGCCCAGAGATCCTGGGGCTGGTACAGAATGCCTTTCCGGAGTCAGTATATATGGAGCAAAATGCTGTGATGTTGGGAGTCTTCAGTAGACCAAATAACAGCATAAAAATTAATTGTTCAAAGCACATAATTTTAAATTTACAAATAATACCATATAAATAACTACATTGGAAGTATGAGATATTTTGTGTTTGTTCCTCATTAGTATTAGAATAGAATCTGGAACTTAACCTTGGATATGCTAAAATAATAAAAATAAATTAATTTTAACTTCAAAGGTCTTCAGTAGACCAAATAACAGCATAAAAATTAATTGTTCAAAGCACATAATTTTAAATTTACAAATAATACCATATAAATAACTACATTGGAAGTATGAGATATTTTGTGTTTGTTCCTCATTAGTATTAGAATAGAATCTGGAACTTAACCTTGGATATGCTAAAATAATAAAAATAAATTAATTTTAACTTCAAAGGTACTGATTTTAAAACCCATCTCTCTTATATAGCTGAAATAACAGTAGCCTTTACTGCCTGATGAGGCAGTAAACATCTGTTCTTTGTTTTGCAACATTATCACCTGCAAGACTTCCTGGAATTGACAGTGTGTACCAGCTCCAAATCCTGTCCTAGAATGAACTTGTAATCAAAGGAACCCAGAGCCATTTCCCCCACTATTACAAACACATGAATAGGGGCAAGAAGAATATGCCATTTAGGCATGTTTCTATAGCATTTATTTTGGAGTAAGATTTTTCCACACACATAGTTTGAGCTTTCTACCAGCATGTGATGCCTTATT